CTATTCTATTCTATTTTATTCTATTCTATTAATGTCAAGATTTCTAGGCTTTCTCTCTGTGGGGACTTACAAATGTATCACAACTGTCTCATTTCAAGGGAACAGATTTTCCACATACCAGGTTCTAATGCGGTTTGTCACCCGGAAAGTGTCCAGTAGCTGGAGCAGCTGGAGGGTTTATCTAGAGGGCATTTTTACCTGCAGACCAAGTAGACATTCCACAAGAATATTTCCCACACCCCAAATGCACAATTTCTGTTTCATATGGATTCTTTACAGCCTCCAGAAGTATTGGTGGTCAGAACTTTGCAATATTCCAAGCATTTATACAATTATGCTCTTTTGTGAATGCTTCAGGATTTATCAAGGTTTCCTTACAGGTAATCATCCAATTATAAAATCATTTTGTTCAGGAAAACTAGGAAAAATATATTGCCCATACCAAGCAATTATAGAATTACCCCTCTGTCACTGTGTGAGGTTCCCAATGAATGGTAATGTGTGACTTTTGAAAAAAATATTTCCCACTTTCTTCACAACTGAAGGGATTTACCTCTGCTATGGAGTTTCTGATGCACTTTAGCTTTGATTTGCAATGAAAAGTTTTCTCACCCTTTGCACACTTGTAAGATCACTCTCCTGTGTGACTTCGGGTGTGCCTGTGAAATGCTGCAGGTTGGGCAAAACATTTCCCACAGTCCGAACATTTATACGGTTTTTCTCCAGTGTGGATTCGTCGATGTATTACAAGAGTACTTTTCTGAGAAAAACATTTATTGCACTCTGAGCATTTATGGGGCTTCTCTCCTGTATGGATTCGGCTGTGACTTTTAAGCGAAGAGGACTTACCAAATGTTCTCCCACAGTCTATACATTTGTAATTTTTTTCCCCCGTGTGAATTTTAACATGACTTCGAAGGCTTGATGTGGTACGGTAAAATTGCCCACATTCGTTGCATTGATATGGCTTCTCCCCAGTGTGGGTTTTATGATGACTCCAAAGATCTCCATTTTGAGCAAAGCATTTTCCACATTCTCTGCATCTGTATGGCTTCTCTCCTGTGTGGACCCTCTGATGCCTTCCAAGGTTGTGTTTTTCGGAAAAGCATTTCCCACACTCCCCACATTTGAATGGCTTCTCCCCTGTGTGGATTCTCTCATGTTTCTGAACCTCTCTTGGAGTAAGAAAACTTTTCCCACACTCCCCACATGTATAGGGTTTCTCTCCTTTGTGCCTCTTCTGGTGCCTCTGAAGTTCAGAAGAATTTACAAATCGTCTCTCACATTCTGGGCATTCATAGGGTCTCTCTCCAGTGTGAAGTCTCTGATGTTGCACCAGGTTTGATTTCCAGGTAAAACATTTCCCGCATTCGAGGCACTTTTCGTTTTTCTCCCCTGTGTGAATTCTCTCATGGTTTCTGAGATTGGCTTTTTTAGGGAAACTTTTCCCACATTCCAGACATTGATAAGGTTTCTCACCAGTGTGGATTTTTTGATGTTTAAGAAGTTCTGACTTTCGATCAAAGCATAAGTCACATTCCCCACATTTATAAGGTTTTAGTCTTGGAGGGATTCTGAGATCTTTGGCATCTGTTCCAGAGAAAGATTTCTCACCTTCCAAACTTTGAATGGATCCACTTCCCAAACTTTGAATGGATCCACTTCCCACATGGATCTTCCTGTGGGTCAAAAGGAGGGACCCGTGAGCAAAGGATTTCCCACACTCAGAGCATTCATGGGTTGTTTCGTGGTTTTTTGGAATGCTGGTTTTCTCTGATAAAAGATCCAAGAGTTTCTCCATGCTTTATGGTGGCTGCTGCCTTGCGCTAATTTTCTACTCCTTGTTGATAGTTGTCACATAGATAAATCACTATCTTTCATCCGCTGTTAGAATGAAAAAGAAATGAAGAATAATATTTCCTTTTGAGAAAACCATAGAATCATAAAATCCTAGACTTGAAAGGGACCATGTAGGTCTTCCAATGTAACCCCTTCTCCAGGATCTCAGAACACCATAGACAAAATCTCCAGTGATAGAGCACCTACATCTCTAGAAGGCAAACTCTTCTGTTGTGGTGGAAATTAAGTGATTTTGTGGGTGGTTAAGTTAAGGGAGACCTAGGCGAGAACTGCAGGGGTGCTTGAAGGGGTTGTGGGAAATCCTGGAGGTCCAGTGCAGGCCATACATGAACTAGAAAAGCTGCAGTGAGGTGCAAAGCTGCAGCTGCGCCCAGAAGCCTTTGTCACCCAAGCTGGGCCCTACAATGGGGCAGAAATGCCAGGGGCGGTGCCTTAAGTGGAGGCCTTGGGCCTTCAGTAGTTTCAGCCAGCTGCCACTGACATCAGCCCAAATGTGGCCTTTGCAGCCTTGCACCATTCTCCAAGCCGCATGTTCTAAGCAAGGTGGACCAAAGCATCTCTAAGCCTCTCCAGGACCCCTTCAAATCAAACATGGAGAACACTGGGACTCACAGGCCAGCCTCTCCTTTTGGGAAATCCATGCTTCTTACCTAGGATGCCATCCACTTAGCGACCAGTGAGATCACTGAACAACTGCAACACTGAGTGCAGAATTACACTTCTTTAGCAAAGCGGTCCTGTGATATCTCACATAACGACCACTTTGCTAAGCAAGCAAGATTCCAATCCCAACTGTAGGCATAAATCAAGGACTACCTGCAAGCAACACAAAAGGCTTTGTAAAAACAAAAGAGCAGGAAAGAGCGTTCAGACTAGTATAAGGAATCCATTTCTTATCCTCTTTTCTTGCTTTTTCTGAGTTTTTCAGTTATGAACTCCATCCATCATCACTTATTGATCCTGGCTTCCTTATGACACATTTCCTGTTCCTTTATGGAGAAGGGAGGGAGGGAGGGAGGAAGGCATAGAGAGAGATGGGTTCAAATCCATCTCCAGATATAGGAACTCTGGATGACTGGTGCCAAGCCCAGCCTGTCTACCTTGCAGGTTTACACTTGGGGAGGGGAATAAATTAAAAGATATTGAGAGGAAGGATTGTTTTGGCTGAATGAACTGCTGCTTTGAAGTATTCCCCTCCCCCCCCCACCTAGAACTCATGAGAAGCAGGACGGATTTTTTTTTTTAAGCTCTACCAACTAAAATAAAGAGACAATAAAAGCATTAAAAGCAGCTTTGGACCCCTTTGAAAGAAAAACACTCAATAAAGCTGGATCCACACCTACTGAGAAAACCCCCTCGGAGTTTTAACCTTGTAAGGGTAGGGGGGAGGGAAGGCAGCAATCAAACTGAAATCGACATCGATGGGGATGGAGGGGAGCTAAGCTGCATCCCACTCCGCGGCAGCGAAAAGGGGAGACCACGGACCCCCTTGCTTGCTCTGCAAAGGCGCCCCTTCCCCACCTCGTCTTTTCTTTGCAGGGATAGCACAGGTCTTTTGGGTAGCGGGGTTTCCCAGCTCTCTTCCTTGCTTCTCCGCAGCTTCGATTTGTCCAAATGCACAAGGAGGGTGGGGAGATCCACCAGCCGGTGTCTCCCTCCCCCGCGTTAAAGGGCCCGATCCCCCCCACGCCCCCCTCCCCACACACCAGAAAAAAACGGAGGGACAGCAGAGTCGATCTCAGCGTCCGGCCCGGCAGCATTCAGAGGAGACCTGGAATAGGAGGATCATTTAGCGTTCCCTTCCCCCCCTCTTCTCCTCCCCCCCCCAAGACCCCAACCTCCACCCAAATTTTCTTCCTCTCTAGGAATCCGTCGCCTCTATTTAACTCCTTCGAAGACGGGAGCAAAAAGAGGCTTGATGAAATAGGGGAGGGATAAAAGGAGGGAGGGGCAAGGAGGATTCGCACCACGTCTGTAACCAACTCCTTCCCCCCCACACACACATACAGGTGTCTTAAGGCCGGGCAGAGGCACATGGTCATGGTTGGTGCGAAGCTGTAATCAGATTTGGGAGTTTAATGCACCTTGGCATCTAAGATATGTGAACTTCAACTCCCAGAATTCCCCAGTCAGCACAGGGCATTCTGGGAGTTGAAGTTCCGCTAGCTTAAGGTGGTGAATGGTCTCCTTGGCAACCCAGGAAACAGGTCAATTCCCAAGGCCCGTTACAGGAATGCCACCATTAACATCTATGCATTATTCCTCAGGCTTCTATGCACCACTACCCAGGGGTGGGTTCCTATTGGTTCAGACCGGTTCTGCCAAACCGGTTGTGGTTTGGCGGCCTGGGTCGCTGGAACCGGCAGCGACCCAGGCCCACCACGCCCCCAAACCGGTTCCATCTTGTTCTTCAGTTCTGCGCTTGCGCATAACAATTTTGCTTGCACTGCAAACGAACCGGCAGTAGTGCCTGCTAGAACCCACCCCTGCCACTACCCCAAAGAAACCGGCTCAAAAGGGTGCCCCAAACATTTGAAGGCAGGGTGTGATGGGAGTTGTAGTACTTGGGCCATGCAGAGAACAGGAATGGGAAAAGTTCAGAGACATCCGTCCTCTTCCTTTCCAGCTTCTTTAAGTCCACGTTTGGCTTCTGTTCCATTTCATTCTATTGTTTATATACTTTATTTTCCATTGTTTTTTACTCTTTATCTATTCTGTTCTATTCATAGAATACCATAGGGAAGATGATCATAGCTTACACAATTCTGATTATTGTAGGTAGAGACCCATCATGACATTTAAATATGTTTTCAAAGGCCTTTATGACTGCTCAACCAATAGCAATAGCAATAGCAA